ATTCCTTTCACAAAATACAGTCATCCTTTATTCTTTGTTTTCGGGGGGGGGGGGGGGGGGGGGGGGGGGGGGGGGGGGGGGGGGGGGGGGGGGGGGGGGGGGGGGGGGGGGGGGGGGGGGGGGGGGGGGGGGGGGGGGGGGGGGGGGGGGGGGGGGGGGGGGGGGGGGGGGGGGGGGGGGGGGGGGGGGGGGGGGGGGGGGGGGGGGGGGGGGGGGGGGGGGGGGGGTGGGGGGGGGGGGGGGGGGGGGGGGGGGGGGGGGGGGGGGGGGGGGGGGGGGGGGGGGGGGGGGGGGGGGGGGGGGGGGGGGGGGGGGGGGGGGGGGGGGGGGGGGGGGGGGGGGGGGGGGGGGGGGGGGGGGGGGGGGGGGGGGGGGGGGGGGGGGGGGGGGGGGGGGGGGGGGGGGGGGGGGGCAGAGAGGAGGAGAAGATTAGAAGCGTCCACACATGAGAATATTCATACATCTTTGTTTTACTTTTACTGTGTTTTTTACTAAATCGGAGTGAGACCTTCCTCACGTGTGAGCTAGTCTAAATCACGTGGCTCTAAAGCAGACAGACATACAATGCCTTAGCTAAAGGGGAAGAAAAACAAAAAACAAAACAAGTGCAAATGACGATATTGCTTCAAAGAATGCGGAACAGCTTGGTTTCAAAACAAGATAAAATTCTTTGATTTAGGTGTCAGAAAGGTGAACAGGCCACTGTCGCACGTCATTGGTTTTTGTTATTATACGGTGTCATGGCAGCTGCTACTGTGAATTCTGAGTGCATTAGTGTTAACTGTCGAAAGGGTGGTGTGATAAAGTTTAGAAATGTTAAAACATCAAATGAAGTGGTTCACAAGTAAAATATGACTGAAAATAAATGTTAATATAAACAAGGTTTTGCCTTTGTATGCAGGTTCTATAAATTATATATATATATATACACAATTATTATAGTATTTAAGATTTTGGATTTTATTTTTATGTGCAGTTCAGTCCTTACAGCCCCGTGTTTGCTTCATGGCATTAAGAAAGTAGTGTGTGCTGCCAAGGGGAGACATGGGTTTTCATTTATTTTTATTTTTTTGGTAGTCTGCACAAGTGTGTACTTTCACTTGATGTATAGTTTTACACACAGTTAGTAAAGCTGGAAGTTTCACACTTTAGATATTGACATTATGTTGATCTTCTTAATCCAGCAGTAAAGACTTGTGAAGACTGAACAAAAGATCTGATTAAAAACAATCAAAGGATTTTTATTTGGATTTGGGAAAATTCACAGTCACATATAAGTTCATTTTTTTATGAGCTATGTATACTTTACTTCTAAGCACATGTTTGAGTCCTGATTCCAAATGTTTAGAACCACATTTGGGTCCTCAATAATGTAGCAAAGCAAAAGCCTTGATGCATACAGAATAGAAAAGTACCCCTTAGGTTGAGGTTTCCAGTATTTCTAGCTTATCATTGCATTTCTGCACGGAGATCATGTCACAGTACATTAGTCAGCAGGGCATTTGTAGGCACAGACCTGTATCTGTTTTACAACTTCTTGAAAAAAAAAACCCTGTTATTAATGTGCCTTGGTTAAATCTGAAAAGTGTTAGAATACTGCTTGAATTTTTCTTTTTTTCCTGTTTTTGCCAACAGTTTAGATTAGTCAGAATCTGGCAGTAAAAAAATATTGTTTGATTGTCTTTTAGACACATTTCAATTTTATAAAGCAGAACTGTGATAAAGCAGTCAATTTCTGAATGCTTCCTCACAGAACAACTGTCCAGGCTGAACATGTCCTTACTCAGTGTGTGGCAAACGGTTTTATCCTTTTATCATAATACATATTCTCCTGATGCTCTTTATACCTAGTTTGTACTGCTATGTTGTTTTTTGAAGGAAACGTCTTGTATTTTCTTGTATTATCTGTCAGACTGTAATTAACAAGTTACTTTGTGTGCTGATTGCTCTAACTTTTACTGTTTACTTGTTTACACCCTGTTAATTTTCCATGCTTGAAGAAGTACAAATCAGAAAAATTAGTTGGTGAAAATTGATAAGGGATTCCTGACCAAGCATCAGACTGAGAGTTGGGAGCAAGAGTGTGTTGTTGTTGTTGTTGTAGCTTCCATAACAAGTGTAATACTCCATCTTCCTTCAAGCCTGGATTTAATGGAGGGTGACATTATGATAGTAAGCAATCCTGGAAAATCCTTGAAATAACGTCCTACTGTCTAAGTTAAATAGTCTTTGCAGTAAGTCATGATCACAATTAAAATCAACACTTTAAAGTTTAACTTTTAAATACAACAAGTAACTATGGATTATATTGATAATTAATTTCATTTACTACCATTTTTGAATATTGTGACTGGTATATTGTGACTTCCAGGAGATGTAATATTCTGGAAGCCCTGGATGTAGAACACAAGCGCATAAAATCCACAGTGTCATCTTAGAGTAGAACAGACACTCAGCGTGATAAATAACACATATGCAAAGAGATATGGATTATTAGGTGATCATTAGCTGCCTGGAACAGAAATCTCCAAACAAGTCAAACAGAGAATCACTGGATCTGTATCTGGAAGTTTGTAATGGAGGATATAAGTACATTGTAGTTGCTATGGATCATTTCACCCAACAAGTCAGCAAAAACTGGAGCTGAAAAGATCTTTTTAGACTTTGTACTCAAGTATCATCATCAGGGAAATGAGTTGGCCATTATGGAACAATATCGCAGCATCCAAGCCTGACAGACAAAGCCTTGTTATACAACTGAAAACAGTCAAAGGTGAGAGATTTCATTGATCAGTCCTCTTTTCAAACATTTTTACAAATAAAAGAAAACAGAAGATTTGATGAAGTAGACGACTTAGATCCATATCCACAGCCAACTCCCACAACAAAATATTTGTTTCACATCAGAGACAGAGGAAAGATAATATAGTACCTTAGGTCATCTATCAATTACACACAGAAAAAAAATGTTCTCCACTAAGAGTAAAAGACAAAAGTTCATAGTCAAATGTTGAGTTTATTATTGTTATCAACTGTTGTTCATGTTTTCCTGGTAAAAATTAGGTGTGAAGTGGAATGTCTTTAAGTAATGCAAACACTCGGGATTTTTTAATGTCACAGACATCAGATAACAGGAAATGATGATGTGGGCTAAAGCAGGAACAAATCTAGATAGAATATGCGTGACTCCCTGATGTGTCAAGCACGTAGCTTTAGTTGTATAAAACTGGTTCTAACACTCCTGTCACAGGCACAACTTCTCATGCAGATGAGGAAGAGACAAGCGTGGCACAAGGTAAAGACAAGTTTCATATTTCTATGAGAACAAACATAAAGTTTGATATATATAAATCTTTAATATTTATATATTTTTTAATTTTGTGATTGTTTTTCCTCATTCTTGGTAGAATCTCTGATTTAGATTTCATCAAAGACGCACCATGAGGATGAAAGGATGTGTTTTTATTTTTGTGATCATGGCAATTTCTGAAGCATTCTCCTTAAACCCAGTAAGTGATTAGTTGCATAGTGATATTTCAGAAATCGTAAATATCAATATGCAAAGAGAACTTAAAGAGATTTTTTTTTATTATTTGTCTGGTTTGTTTTGTAATCAAGTTTGTTGAACAATAATACTGAATATTAAATATCAGCTACAAACAATGATTTTGGTTTTTTTTCAAAAAGAAACAAAAAGGAAAGTTTTAATTTTGCATGTTGACCAACAAGTATGGAGTGTGTTTTCTATCAAAGCTTAAAATGTAAAAAAAAAAAAAAAAAAAACCCTTTATTCACAGTACTACATACAGTATGTTAAATGATGGTACATTTATTTTAATATATATTGATATTTTTACAGAATGGGCTAGAAATAGTGGGTAAGTTCTATTTTTTAAATTTTCCACTTTTATTTGATGAAATTCATTTTTTTTTAAATATTAAAGAAAAAATGTATACAAAAGTGCCTCATCTGTTTTTGTAGATGTTGGTGAAGTGAAGGACATTCCTGAAATAAACAAGGGTAAAGTTCAACATCTACTTATAACTAAACCTTTTTATAAGGATATTTTTGTTCTTCATGCAACTGTACTTGAATATTAGTGACTTGTTTCTAATTTTTTAAATTTTATCTTAGAATTTTTACATGATGATATTTTGGAGGTGAGTCTTTGTTATGAAGATAAAAAATCTATTTATTCTAAAAACATCTGTGTGCATAGTAACTTACTGCATTATGTCACAATATACATGTTTCTTACACTTTAGCCTATAGGCAAGCAGAGGAGTACCATTATTAATGAAAACATCCTGTGGACATCTCCAGTCCCCTACCTCTTAAATAATGACCTTGGTAAATATGTGTTTTTCTTACAAATACACCTGAAATAAATCTTTATTTCTTTATTTCTATGGGAATACATCTTTGTGATGTCATACCAGAAAATGCATTTTTTCCCCATGTCAGCTGGACGCTTTTGACACATAGAAGCCACATAATGAAAAAAAGAAAACAGCAGCATGTGCAAGTGCACAGAGCTAATTTAATGGAATAGTTTTGGGGC